GTAGGGTCACCTTAGGGTTAGGGACAGGCTTAGGTGAGAGATAACGGTTGGGGATTAGGACTTCCAAGAGCGATTCCAACAACTGCAGCAATTTCAGTCCCGCCTATCGCGGAAATTGCTATTAGGCGTTGCTCAAAACGCATGCGTCTAACGCCGGCTTGTCATAGCAAAACAGACCGATGTGCCCACTATCCATCGTTGCCTACTCCATTCCAACAATTCGCCACTTCTTTCACGCATTGTCTATCTAGTTATAACTTCCACTGATGAGACTATGTCGTCTCGACAAAAAAATCACGATCAAACCAATTCCTGCAAATCAACTCAAAGTTTGGATTCTGCTCTTCAATGAATAACTTCCACTTCATACTTTGGATGACAGACTTCTGGGACCACTTTGATGAATTCGAATCTTTTCAGTCCATTCCGCGTTCATGCTATCTTACGATATGCCGAACCGAATACTCCACGCGCAAAACTCCCTAGTTCATAACTAATTACCTCCGAGAAGTTTGCGGGCAAGATACTATACTACTATATCACTAGTCCTCTAAGATGATAAACAGTTATGAGAATTCTAGAATTAGTTGTTTTCCTAGATGCTTCGATCTCCTACGGGAATTGCCTTTTGGAGGGAATGAAAATTTCGAATTATCTTGACGCAATTTAATGTGAAAACTGTTTGAACAGTAGCCCAGGAGCCTGAACTATTAGTGTGAATATAATCGCTTACATTCATGAATATACGAATACACAATTCTTCACATTGTAATTTTTCTGGCAACTGATACTATTGACGTAAATCTGATCTACGAATGAGGCCTACGACTAATCGTTTATGACGTATGCAGATTCATGGTACCAGGATATGAATATTGCTTTCTGGTATCCTGATAGGCTTTTAATATTCATGACCACTTCAACGAGAAATGGTGGAAAACGCATATAAGATGTTACATCTCTTAAAATGAGAACATCTTATGACAGCCTCATTTAAGAAACTGACGACCGCGTGATCTCTACATATATGGCTCGCTTGCAGGCCAAGTGCGAAGGAGCAGCCACGCGCGGCCCATGCTCTTGTCATCCTCTTCGTGCATGCGCGAACTCTTCCAAACTTTTTGCTATTATTCTGTAGAACGGCTTAGCATACCAATATCACGACGTGGTACGCAAAGTGGTTGAGAA